TGACTGACATGCATGGCATTCCCTTTTGAAAAAGCAATGTAATACACTGTGAAGTTATATGTAATCCAGTGTAATATAAAGAAGATTATGATGATAATAAAAAATAAGAAATAAAAAAAGACTTCACATTTTAAAAAAAGGTGTTTTAGAAAAAAACACTAAAACTATTTTTCTTGAAATTAAAAAAAATGCATTAAAAATACCTATTTGGTGACTGCAGTAAGCTATATAGCCCCAGCTACGTGCTACTTTATAGTATGTTCATTCTACTCACTAAGGCTTATACTGTGTAAATTTTCATGTATTTATTTTTCTTTCACACACACATATGGTTTTGAACTTCCTGATAATAGTTTAGTCTAATTCATACTTTTTCTCCTTTTGTGTGTGTGTGTGTGTGTGTGTGATTATGTGTGTCTTACACTCAATAAATCTTGCCACCTTCAGGACCTAAAGATTATTTTGTATGCTTATGTTCTAGAGTATCTTTTATTTTTTTATTTCTCACATGTGGGCTATGATATAGCATTTATTTCTAATTTGGCTAGTACGAAGGAGATCAAGAGTTTTATTTTTAAATCCATATATATAGAGTAAGAGGGCCCCACTCTGCTGTTCTCTCTTTCCACACTGATGAACCCAGCAGGGAATTTGCATACTGTCCCCCAGGGAGCACCTTTCTTTGCAAGTCTAAGATAAAAGTCAGCTCTGATCTCTGGACTGCTCAGGACTCCCCAGTTCAGCTCTCAACATGAGGTTCCCTGCTCAGCTCCTGGGGCTGCTAATGCTCTGGGTCCCAGGTGAGGGCACAGAGGGCTGGAGGAGGAGAATGGGTAGGAGGGCGAGCTCTGCGTCCCCACTGCTTACCTTCTCACGTGTGCTCTGTCATGTGTGAGATGTGCCCGACTTGTCCTCCATGATGGGACATCTGAGGTTTAGGTCTGTGACAGTGTGGAAGGTTCCTGAAGGAAAAAGGACCTGTAGCATGGTGAGGATAGTCACACAGAAATTAGGTTTGGTATAGGAGATTTACAGAAGACTCAGTGGGGCTTGAAGATCTTGGATCCTTTTCAAAAAATGGAATATTTTGTTGTAACAATCAAAATGTCAAGAAGATTATATAGTTTAAGTTTTTAAAATGTGAATGATGCTTGTATATAATCTTGCATTTCTCTCTCATTATTTCAGGATCCAGTGGGGATGTTGTGATGACCCAGACTCCACTCTCTCTGCCCATCATCCCTGGAGAGACGGTCTCTATCTCCTGCAAGTCTAGTCAGAGCCTCCTACACAGTGATGGAAACACCTATCTGCACTGGTTGCAGCAGAAGCCAGGTCAGGGACCACAAGGCTTGATATACGTGGTTTCTAACAGGGTCTCTGGAGTCCCAGATAGGTTCAGTGGCAGCGGGGCAGGGACAGATTTCACACTCAAAATCAGCAGGGTGGAGCCTGAGGATGTTGGAATTTATTACTGTGTACAAGGTACACACATTCCTCGCACAGTGATACAGCCCTGAACACAAACCTCCCCGCCTGGAGTGGCCCAGCTGCCCTCATGTGCTCTCTGTGTGGGGAGCAGAACAGCAGCCCCTCCTGTGTAAGAGGAAGGTGCTGGAGAGCTCAGGGCACTAGGTGGCTGCTGTCTGTGTCACAGGTGCCCTGCCCACAGCTCAGGCTCCAGCCATCTGTGGCCCTGTCAGCTGCAGCAGCATTAGTCTAGAATCTAAGGCGGAAGGACAGAGTGGTCTTATCAGGGTGAGGGGACATGATCATGTGATGATTCATAAATGGAACTGAATGAAAGCTCATCCTAATCTTTCCTCCCTCCTTATATTTGCTAATTCAAATTAATCCATGTAAATGACAGAAATGAACATGTTGAGTATATCTTGAGCTTTATCAGTGTTTTTTTTTATCCTGATAGGATATTGACTAATACTCAAAAATGGTATTTTCCCACTTTCACAACTCCCTACTTTTCATGTTTACTATCTGTCTGCTCACTGTAAATATCAGAGAGGTAGCATTCTACACATGCCATCCTTAAGAGGAGCGGTCTGAGGACACTTGGGAAAAATCTTGGTTGCTGAGAATTCAAATAGACTTTTGTAAATTCATAGCAGATTCAAGATGCTAATGCTAAAATTCTTTGATCTGTACAATTAATTCCCCATGGCTGACACAAAAGAGAAGTATTTGATGTTCCTAAAATTGTGTATTAAACGTAAGACCAAAGGGTCAGCTCAATGACCTGATGGTTAGGAAGCAGTATTTCCACATGGCCAACCACAGCCTGAATTCTGGACTCTGTAGCTGCAAAAAAATAAAATAAAATAAAATAAAAAAATTCGTGAGTGTGCATGTGTCTCTCAACATTCTTGTTGGATGTTGAAAAGAAGATAATGGATGGCTGTCTGATAGGTTCCCATTGGAGGTGATGCATTCTTCGTCTCCCTCTTTCTCTCTCTGTCCTTTTGGGTGAGAGTATATCCTCTGCTGATAAAAAAAAAATTAAAATGTAAAAAACATAAATAAGATGATCCAGTGCCCATCTTTACCCCATGTTCCACTGGAAGAATACCACATGATAATTTTTGAAGTCAGGAATGAGAACAATAAAGGAATACAATGGACGTGAGCTTTGGGAAAATTCTACTTTTTGGCTTACATTTGGTGGAACTGGGATAGTAGTGGGTGTTGTAGATTGATGATAAACCTGATAATATGAAGCACAGATGTATTTCCTGTGAATAGTCACAGAGTTAAAGGGAACACTGCCTGCCTTCCAAGGATTAGCCTTGTGCACCTGCAAGTTTCATAGGAAAGTAGTGAATGGAGAAGGTGGTTAGGTCTGAAATCATCAAAGCTTATGTGACATAGCTGGAGGTTTACGCAAACCGAAGTAGTGGACGAGACCCATGTCCATGATTCACGTGTAAATCAAGGATTGTCTGAGCAGCTTAGGGAGCTGGGGGAATACCCTGAGTAGTTGGGATGTTTCTGCCTTTCTATCCCAGCACCCCAGCCTGCCTGCTGACTCTGACCTCAGAGAGTGTCAGTGAAAAGCATTGACCCTGTGAAAGTGCTGAGGCTCAGCTGGATTCTCCTTCCCAAGTGGGTTCCTATGTTAGCGCCAATAAGAGCCAGTGCCCAACTAAAAATTCGTCACACACTGCAGGGAGAACAGAAAGGCAGGTGAACGTCAACTCTCCAGAAAGTTTTCTGTTCTCTTGAATTTTAAATGACCAGGGCTCATTTCTCCCATTGTCTTCTTATTTCATTAAAACCTAACTCTGAATTTTATTCTCTATATGCATTTTCGTACCTTTTGCAGTGTTCTTTTGGTCTTTTACTGTCTGTTATTAAGCCTGGGGATGGAGGTACCTTTTATTGTTTTAACCTAAATGATGTTTCTAAGATGATGACTTTTGAATATGCTGTTTTAAAAGAGAAAGAAAAAAAAGTTGTTAGATAACCAGTAAAGAAATTACTTTCCACCACTCCCATATTCTAAAATTCAAACAAGTTAGAGAACAGAGGAGAATTGAGGAGGGATGATTGTTGCATGACTACACACCACTGAGAGGTGCTTTCTCCTTCTCCCTCTTTCTCATGATCTCTCTCTCTCTCTCTCTCTCTCTCTCATCTCTCACAATTATACCATCATCCTTGGATTCCATCTACTGCAGGTCTAGTCAGAGTTTCCCACACAGTGATAGAAACATCTGTTTTTTCACCTCTCCCTGCACAAGTTAGGTCTATCTTCACAGCTCCTGATCTATAATATTTACTACCAATTCTCTGCCTCCCAGACTGAACTAGTGACAGTGGTCAGGAGCAATTTCAAATTGAAAATAGGCAGGGTGGAGGCTGACAATGCTGGGGTTATCACTTCATGCAGGTTCTGCAACACCCTCCCACTGCTCTGGCCTCATACCTCCCCACTTGGCATTAGTCAATGTTTAATCCCAAGGGTGCTCCCACAGCTGCCAGAGCTCAGCCGATTTCTCAGCTGACCAGATGTGCTACCTCTGAGGCAGGCACCAGTGAGCATGACATCAAATAACTCAGGGAAATATTTGTAGCTGAGGGGTCTGGACCATGAGTGTCTCAGCTGCATCTCAGGTGCCTTCCTTAAGACTCAGTTGTCTGGAAGAGCCTTGATCTGGTAGGACCTGCAGGAGAAGGGAGAGAAGTGTCTATTGCCCAAGTGTCCACTGGGCAATGAGACAAGATGGAAAGAAAGTTAAATAAAAGCTTCTCTCTCTCTCCCCTCTCTCTCTCTCTTAGTTTATTGCAACCAGGTAGGCTTTATTTCAGGAATGCAAAGGTGGTTTCACATAGACAAAACCATAAACTTAATACACCATGTTAACAGAAAGGAAGATAACAACCATATGATCATTTCAATCAATGCACAAAAAGCATTTGACAAAATACAACATTTCTTCATGATTAAGACTCAGTAAATTCTGCATAGAAGGGTCTTTTCTTAACATGGCAAAAGCCATCTATGAAAAATCTATACCTAACATTATACTGAATGGGGTAAAGCTAAAGTCTTTTCCACTAAAAACTGATACAAGATAAGGCTACCCACTTTCTCCAGTTCCTTTCTTTCTCTTTTTTTTTCATATTTTATTCATTCACAAGAATCCAAACTAATCTAAGTACTTTCAATAGCAAGTGCAGTGGATACAAACATATCTGAACACATGTCTGACTTTAGGAATAAAACTCAGTGAATAGGATGATACTATAAAGTAGCACCTAGCTGAGGCTATATAGCTTACTGCAGTAATTAAACAGATATATATTTTTATGTATTGTTTTAATTTTAAGAAAAAATGTTTTAACTTTAATAAATCAAAACCAGCAATGATAAGAAAAAATTGCTTAACACTTAAAGCCAGGAAAAAGGTTAGGATTCTATTCAAGTAGTAGGTAAATACTAAAAATTCATAAAATGGATTTTGACAAAGGTAAAAATCTAATAACAAGTACACTGTAATTTTCTTCTGAAACATTTTTTTTCTCTCTCCATTCCTCCTTTTACCAGGGCCTGTAAGGAAGTGACTTTCTTTATTTATCTGCCAGGCAGAGCTGTTTATGGTAGCAGGCAATTTTCCCAGGAGCTTCTTTTGGCTTTCTTGAGATCTATCTCAGTTCCTTAGCTTTCTGGTCATATCTTCAGAAATGACATTCCAGTCAAGGCCCTGCACAATAACAAGTATTTCCAATTTCTGGTGCAAGGCAACAGATATTATTAAACTTATGCAATTTTTATGCCACAAAATAAGAATACCCAAATTAGAATACCCACAAATATTTTTCAATTCTAGAGGGATCAGAAAGTGAGAAAAGTTATATTTCCATTTTCTCCTTTTGTGCTGCTCTAAGCCTACCAATATTTAGAGGTTTGATTACTATGTACATAACTTGTCTATACACTCACTAGGTGAAGACTGAGCAGCAAAATGAGAAAGCAAAGTAGGAAAAGAAGAGAATACAAACAGGAAAAATAAGAGTAAAAAGAAACAAAAGTCAATAGACAGAAAATTTTTAAATAAAAAAACACATGCCACGTGACACATGAAATCAGCAGAATACCTCAAATATGATGTCTCCCTGCAATGCCCCTGTCTTATGTATGGAGAGGAGAATAAAAAAACTAGCAAAAGAAAGGATTAAAAAAAAGATTAAAAAATGCCGGAGAGAAAAAGGAAGAAAAAGGAAGAAAATAAAGGCAAGAATATAGAAAAAAATATTTTTTTTCCTATCTTTCTAGTTATGGGCTCGAGAGGTGAGTTGGAAGAGGGGGGCTACAACTCAGGGCTTCTCAGCCCTCATGGTACCAGAAATGAGCAGAACCCCTCGGATGTAATGTCTCAATACAATGCCCCAGTGCTATGTAGAAAGAATAAAGAATTAGCAAAAGGAAGGATTTAAAAAGAAAGTATTTAAAAAGACCAGGGAGAAAGAAAGAAAAGGAAAAAAAAAAAGCCAAGAATATAGGGGGAAAAAAGTTTTTTTCTCTTACTTTTCTAGCTTTGGGCTGGGGAGATGAGTTGGAAGACAGGGGTTGTAATTCAGGGCTGCTCAGCCCTCATGGTGGTACCAGAAGTGAGCAGAGCACCACAGAGCTTTTAATACTCTCTCCCTTTGTATTAATATATTCATTAATTAAGTATATTCAGAATCATTACCTGTGGTTAACTTATGGTGACAAAAAACTGATATATTGTTGAGACCAGCAGATGACATAAGGTCTATGTCTCTATACTCCCATATAGTCAGCTGCAGTTCAACTTCCTGGACCCAGCAGCTTAAAGTCATGTCAGGCACATGTGCGTGCGTGCATGCATGCCCAAGATCCTGAGAGGAGAATGGAGGGGAAGGGACTGCAGCATGGCCATACCCCCTGGGGGGTGATTTCTCACTTTCTGTCTGCCTCTGTCTGTTCTTCTGGTGGCACACGTGCCCAATAGCAAAAACCTTTTCCAAAAAAAAAGAAACTGATATATTGTTTGGGTTTACTCATTATTTAATAATTACTAGGACACCTTCAACTGGGCTAGTTTGATGTTTATCTCCAAGATCTTCTTTTTCTTTCCCTTAGAACACATCCTTTTCTAGAGCAGGAGCAACCTCAGAGATTCACACAGCTTTCCTCCAGATAAGCCTAGGGTCAAAAATCTCTGATCATTTTTGTCACAGCATTTTGACATAAAGTGGGGTTTTTCTTAATTCCACAATGAATATTAAAAATAATAAAGAGTGGGTGATGAGCAGATGATGTAGGTATATGTTTGTCCATGCCCCAAATCCCATCATGTCTGAGAAATGGAAGGAATTGTAATGTGACTATACCTCCTCTCGGCACTCCCCACCACCAAACACAACCTCTGTCTCTTAACGCACACACCCTCTGGCACAAAAAGAAAAAAGAAAAAAAAAAGAATCAACTCTAGAAGAATTACACATAATAAAATACATTCATATTCAACATAATGTGGAGAAATACAAAATAATATAAGCCTGTTCAGATAAAAAAAATGTGCATTATGCTGCCATTTTTATTAACATAAACTTCAATTTTTTT